GCCACCAGGAGCTCCCACTCACTGTGGACAGGAATGCAAAGTGGCAACAAGCCAAAGCAACAACAAATCCTGGACAGGGGAGAGCTAATTTGAGCATTTTGCCTATTTTATGTATTCCTCTTTCAAACTTGTTGTGACAAGAAAAGAATGATATTCATTTTATTCTTAATGTGACAGAAAGTGGGAAGGAGATAATGAGTAGTGAAAATAAACTGGAGTGACGATTAGAATTTCCAAAATATAATGAAATATCAATCTACATATCTAAGAAGCTCAAGGGGATGCTAAGCTAAAGGAGAGACAATACTAAACACACCATAATTTATCTGTGAGAAGAAATCAACGTGAATGTCCTCTAAATGCAAAGGGAAGTAGCGCATGAAATGGAAGAAGTGAGAAATGGGATTTGATTTCTCATCAGGAAACAAGGGATCAAAATTTGCAAGGGTTAAAAACAAGAAAGTCTATAAACAAAGCATTCTACATCTAGCAAAGCAATCCTTTAAAATAAAGGAGAATTGAAAGAAGACACTCCAAGTAAATGAAAACTGTAAGAATCTATTGCTAGGCAACCACTCTTCTCTAAAAGATACAGTGATGAAGAAGAATTCATAAGTTTGCCTTCAGTAACAAACATATCAAACCAGCAGATCAACAGGGAATCAACGGACTTGAGCAACAATGTACTCTAGAACCTAACAGGCATCTATAGAATATAAATATATATTTAATTTTTAATAATAATATTGTCACAAAGTAAAGCTTAGATCTAAGTAAAAGTCAGTAACACTCTTCTGTTCTTCACAAATTCTTCCCAAAAGTGCTACTGGAAGGAACACTTTCCAATCCATTCTAAATGGCCCATAACCAAAACCACATTCATCTCAACAAAACTAGACTGGTTTTTAGGAGTAGATACATAAAACTCCATAACATATAGAAATGTAAAAATTGTGTACCATAAGTAACTGAATTGTTTGAGAAATAAATGTCTGGTTTGACAGCTAAAAGCCATGTGACATACTGTATTAATAGGATGAAAGGAAGGGAAAGGCATCTCAATGGACACTGGAAAAGCATTAGATGAAACATAGCAGGCCTCCAAGATAAAATGTTCAACAAAGCATGAATAGAAGGGAATGTCTTCAGATTGATAAAGGAAATATGCTTGACAAAAAAAGAAACAAAACAATACTATTCTTGACATCAAAAGATGAATGCTTTTCCCCAAAATCAGAAACAAGACGGCTGTTGGCTCTCACTACTTCAATTCAACACCATGCCAAAAAAAAAAAAAAAAATGTAGCCATAGCAATTGTCCACGAAAGAAAACTATACAGATTGAAAAGGAAAAAGTAAAATTATCTGTTCTCGATGACATATAGCATAAATAGAAAATATTAAGAGCTAAGGAAAAAGTTAAAAGAGTCACTTGCAGAACAATGGAGTTATTCATGGCTGTATCAAAGGTTACAATAAAGGAGGACAGGAAGCTAAGGGGCCACAATTTTTATAAAGTATACACGAAGGAATAATGAAAAGGAGCTGATTCAGGTAAATAGTCCAAGTCTCAAAAGAGCAACTTAAAAATACTTCATTCAGTATGCCAATGAAGAGTGACAACAAGGAAGAGTGCCAACAAAGACATGCCCACCTCCAAAGAGTAAAATACTAAGTCTCTTAGAAAATAAAAATCTTGCCTATAAAAATGTGACTATGAAAGAAATACATTTAGTTAAGTGTTAGATTTGTTATAATTAGAAGGATAACCACAAACAGGGCAAGGCTGTAAGTTTGTTAGGGTTGAGAGAACTTCATCTGGCATAAAAGTTTTAGGAAAGGGGAACTCTTGGGAGAAAATGGGAATGGAATATTACGCTGGAGTAAATGGAAAAAAGTGGTATTATGACGAGAATATCAGAGAACATATAGATCAGCAATTCTGAACTAGTAATGTCCCAACGGGCCTAAGTTATGGCTAAGACAATGCTATAGTGAACTATGATAATAACAGTGATTAGGCACCAAAAAAAAGAGAGTCGGTGCTCACGTTAGAGAATACCAAGAGGGACTTGTGTACACCTGATATTAAAAAAGACCTAGAGGTTTGCACTCTCAAACTCTTTAACATTAAGGTGAAAACAGAAAATGACAGCCCCAAGGCTTGCTGTGGAAAGTTTCTTTCTGTAACATACTTCGCTGTAAATAGCTTTGGCATGCTGGGAAAAACCAGAACAAACAGAGAAGCTTGAAGGTAAACTGAACCACGCATCTATGAGCCTCAGCATTGTCAGCGTATTCAACCACTCCTTAGAAAACTCTATGCTGACTAAGATTAACAAAAACACAATGTGCATCTCTCCCTTACTACCAACTAGAAACTGAGAATTCACAATCACAAGTGCCTCAAAGTTTATAAACTCTGAGGGGGACCTGTGGTCATGTTTTGTGGAAATGTTAATCTATCTTTCACTAATTTCTGCAAAATCACAATTTATAGAAGCAAATAGGCATAACGCAGCCACCGTTTAAACAATTTAATTTGTTCATTCTTATATTTATCTGAACTGTTGATACGTAGAAAATTAGAGCTTAGGGTTCTGGACTTTTGGGGAGAGGGGATGTCCTTCCTAATTTTTCTGAGATTACACTCAGCCTCAGTTGAATCATTTCTAAGGACAGAAACAATTAACTCTATTTCTGATAGGCTGAATAATGTCTCCTTTATGCTGAAATCTGCTTCCCTTTGTCAAAAAAAATGCAGATACGATAGTTCTGCTTTCTAGAGTTATAGAACATATCACTCATTCTTTTAAATCAACAAGAAATCCAGTTATGGTAAACTTGAAGAATGGGTGTCTGAAAATCCCAAGTCTAGCACACAAACCCTGCAACTGCCCTTGTGCCAGGCTAAGTGCTCACTCCTCTCCTTCAGACACTAAACTATTGCTCCAGTCTCCAGTCAGTCCTGCAGACTGATTCAAAAGTAACCACTCAGTCTGTGCTTTCCTAGATAAAACATACAGAGAGCCGCTGCATGCTCATCATATCCCTTCTCCAATCCTTTATTAGGCACACACTGTCACAGCAGTAACACTGCATGATAAGTACCCACAAGTTAGTCTCCACAGACTATATACTATGCATATGGGACATGCACATTCATGTAACACATGCACAGGAGTCTTTTCTTCAATGTAAAGTTATCTACTTAAACTGCATCAATGCAGAATTCTTCCTCTTTAATACAATAGTCCAAGAACTCATTACCAATTCACAACTTTCACCTCTCATACCATCTCCAGTTTCATACCAGGATAAGACTTTAGGGCACTGCGCAACACATAGGCTACCAATGAGTATTTATTAAGTGAATGAACTAATTTTAAAAATAAGCATTTTGATAGTCTGAATATGGCATATCTCTCACAGGCTCAAGTTGTGAGTGTTCCCAGATGGTACTGATATTCTGGGAGGCTGGAGAATGTATAAGAGGGGATCTAGTAGAAATAAACCATTAAGGTTAAGCTTTTAAAGGTTACACCTGCTGGTTTGCAGTGATGTGAGGAGCCTCCATCACATGCTCCTAACACCATGAGCTACTTTGCCATGACTAGCCTGTCATGATGGATTCCAGCTCTCTGAAACTGGGTCAAAACAAACCTATCCTGTGAGCTGTTTCTGTTAGGATCTGTAGCGACAGTGAAGCAAAAGTAACTGATACCAAAATGCTTATTATTAACTTCACGTCATACACCTGCGGTAATTTAATTTGTTATAAAGACACAGTAAGATTCGAGAGAGAAGCATGATCGCCATTGCAACAATAAAGGTGATCTCTACCTACTGCATGAATTCTTCCCGACTGCACAATCTTACCCTTCTATTTATTTACTCCAACAAAAGATTTTAATTGGACCCCATTTTTTTATTAATCCACAAAGGATACTTTATTAGAATAGAATTTGTTCAGCTTAGATAGAAAAACATGATGATGAAGGATTAAGAAAGTTACTGTGCCACTCAGGACCTGTCCAGTGTATGTCCAAAGCACTTTTCTTAGAATTCACACGACCACTCCCTCTGTATTTGTCTTGTATAAATTTGTATTGAACAAATCCAGAAGAAACAAATTCTCCATCTTATGCACACCATATGTCTGATAACAACAGGTCAAGCTTTGCTCTTTATTTTTGCTACAAGGACCCTTACAAAAACTTTACTTCTTATCTTAGGGGGTACAAAAGATCATGTTTTCTTTATATTATTTCTTCATCTCAGTTTTATTATTTGCATTACAATATGCTCCAGGATAAACACAAACCCCTTGCGGAATGAGACATTAAAATTTTTAAATTAATGTTATTGCTTACCATAAACCAGGTACTGAATAACCAACTTTATCCTGATCCATAAACACACAGAGAAAAGTGTTTTTAAGCCTGCTCACAAATAGTGCAGAGGGTTAAATAAACTAAGCTTGCAAAGTTCATCTATACCAGGTGAAGCTTCGACTCCAGGTGTGAATGGCTGTGAGCCCATTAGACTCCATGATCTGATCCAATTTCAGACTACTTTATCCCTTAAAATGGAAAGTACTTCTAGTGTCAATTCACATCTCTTAACAGTATCTGTGGAATTTTAATTTATAAGCAAAACAAAACCAATAACTTAGTAGTTACTTTGTACAATATTATTTTTAAAAATAATAAACAAGGTCAGTATTCATTAATTTCAAAATGATAACCCTCTCCCCCACAAAGTCATATCACAACTTAAAAGTCCTTAAAATAGATGCAAATGCAATTTGTAAATCTGCAATAAGGCTACTGAAACAAGATTCCAGCTAAGAAAAGATTAGTTATTATAATAATTACATATCATGCATACACTGAACTGGTTTTGGTGACTCGAAAACCAGGCAAATTGGCTTGGAGAGAGACCTATGAGTCAGGTTAAGCAGAGGACTGAAGTGAAGATGCAGTTAGAACAGTGCTCACCTGCTCAAGTCACTTTTCCCATGGTGATGATAGTGATCAGGGTGGCTAAGGTGGTAATGCTCCTGCCCACTCCACCTCTGGGGTGCTCTTTTCCAAAATCCGTCCTGTGACTGTCGTACATTTCTGTCGGCTCGGTCAAAGCGGTTCATATTGTCACAGTCCACTAGACAGATTAAAAAGTAACAAACTATAAATATGTGCACACTGTATAAAAAGTTAACTACTTATGGCCTAATAATTAAATGCTGTGAAAATAATTTTTAATTCTAGAAGTACCAGCCATGTAAACTAATCACAAAATAAAGTTTTCCAAAGGAAACCAGTTCTTACAGTGAAAACTGAACTTTATACATTCAAACTGAAGTAAATTATATTTCTGGAGCAGCCACTTAAGAGAACAACTAACTGTTAGACTGTTTTAAAACAAGGAAAAACTTCCCTGAAATGAACATTACACATTTCAAATACAAGCAATCAGGACAGAAAAATGTAAATTTATGAAGAGCATAGTATCCATTCTTAGAAATAAGTGCCTCAATTAAGTTTCTCAGCCTCAAGAAGCACAAATTAACCTATCATCATAGACGATCATGTTTTTAAATAAAGCTCACAATTTTAAAGAGTAAGCTGCTCCAATTTGTCTGTAGCAGAGCTGGTTCAGAAAAACTGAAATGCTGCTGAAAACAAAGCCAGTACTTTGTAACAACAAATACCAGTTCTCTCCTGAAATCCAAATACCACAAAACTCCCTGAAGCACCCCAGCTTCTCCACTCACCCAAACGCTCTGCTCTCACATCTCGGAGCACTCTCTGAAAAAGCTATTCGGCACAAGGGAGACATTGTGCTGCCGGCTGCCTACTCAGACATAGTTGCACACAAGGCGCCGCTGAAACAGGCCTTCCTTCCTGCTCCACTCCCAACCCTCCCTGTGGGAAGCAAGCCCAGCCTGCCCTGTGACTCCATCTTCGCTCAGTGCTTACATAGCTACTGAGTTAGGACTGTTACTAAAAATACTTCTAAACACTAGCCCAAGCCATGGAACAGGATAGGCTTCTCCACTCCAAAACCTCCAAGAAAAAGTTCAAAATTTCTTGTGATAAAAAACTTTACATATCAATAGAATCGTGGGGTTTTTTTAAAAAATGACTTATTTTAAGTGGCTGTTACCATGAACCAAAAACTTGGATTTAAAATAGTTAATAGTTTCTTTATAGAGAAGATGGAAGGCTTCCCATCTATGAAAGGGCCATGCAGAAGAAAATAGCAAATGACTTAAGCACACTTTTGAAAGGACGCTGAATCTTTGTTTGCATTCATGAGGAATCAGTGCTAATAAATAGTTTTCTTTCACTGTAGCAATAGCTTTTAAAAGAAGTCTAACATATAAAATTACTGCCAATAACTTCCTACTATTTTGTTGTTAAAATTAAGTGGAACTGAAGTTCAGTTATGACTAATACATAGTATGACGACCACTATGCTGAAAAATATCAGTAGGAATTTTAAGTAAATCTTGAAGTTTAAAGGTAATTTCATTTGGTTCCTCTGGTAACATCATCAACAACTCAGCTGCATTACTCAGGTGCACAGAGTCCCCCCAGAATATCTCCACCTAGCAGCTCAGTAGTTCTACACTCTGCTGCTAAGGGGCATCTACTTTGAAATGTGTTTCCTTAATTTAAGAAGAAAAATTTCCAGTCCCAAAGGAAGACCTGACATATTCTCATAATAAAAATCAGCACAGCACAGAAAATAGGAAGAGGCAAGCAAACCAGACAAGAGAGCTAAATGTTAGAGCAATTACAGAGCACAAGCTGCCACACGGCTTTGGTGAACAGATTTCAAATCAGGGCTCTTTACTGAAGCCTTAATTCATCCTGAACGGCAGGTTAGCAGGAGAGACAAACATCTGCCACTACTGCAAAAGATTAAAGTTCAAATTTAGACCGAATTTCTACAGATGACCCTGACTCTCCCGGGAGTGCTGCTTCCTCAGGCATCCATCCATCAAGCACATCTTTATAAACTTTGCAATCCAGCTAAGATGGTAATATTAAAATATTAGTAGTGGTTACCTAGGGAAGATTAAAGTGTTCCGTGACAGATTAAAAGAAATAAAATAGAAAAGAAAATGGGAAAAAACAAAATCTCTCGAGAGGGAGATCAATAAAAATCCAGTTCTAGGGCTTAAGAAGAGATTCAGATAATGCTTTATGGGGAAAGTCAGTCCTCCTGAATGTGCAAGCTGCAAAGTTGAGGGTGCGTACAGAAACCTCCGAGAAAAACTAAGGGCAAATCCTAACTAGTGACTGAAGGTCACTAGTTCAAACGGCAAAAAGCAGTATATTTTAGTTCTAGTACTGTAAAAAGACAGACAGCATCAGGGTTCTAACCCACTGAAGAGGGAAAGAATCTAATTAGCTAATAGAGGTATATGATATAAGGATACCTGTTATGATGGTATGATTTTACCTTGTTTGATAAAGGAATAAAACATGATACCCAATGTATCCTTCATTTTTTTCTTTTACATGACATCTTTCAAGTCCTGAGAGATAATGATGACCCAGGTAGTAATTTTTATATAAGTAACTGCATGAGAGATAGACAAGGCCCGAGGAGGCTTTACATTAGTAAGGAAATTTTCAACTGTAATTAAATGTTAAAAATATAAGTGAAAAAAGCATAAACTGAATTACTTAACATGGTACAGGCACAGAAAGAAATTTCTAGAAAAAAAATGCAAGTAACTGGAAGCAATCAAGAATAAGATGATCCTCATGTATTTCAATACAAAGTGTATCGAAAAATGTAGCCTTATGTGCTTAAACATAAGATAATTTAGTCAGCAATTAAACTTTGTGTCAGATTTAGGAAATAGAAAAGCATCTTTCAATGTCTAAAGTCTAAAGAGAATGGCTAAAATGACTAACAGTATACAGAGAAGGTACTTACTAGGGTAATCCACTAACTTGAGGATTATACTCTGACATGCCAAATGCCAGGTGTGTGTTTGTGGGCGATGGCTGGCCATCAGAATTTCCTAAACAAGAGGAAGAGGCAACACAGCTGCGTTTCTGGCATACCAGAAATACTGAGAAACATTCTACAACAGAAAGAGGTACCCTACAACAGTAAGGACCAATAGCAAACATCTAATAGCCTTCCAAAAGAAACTCAGATTGCAAAACTGTTTCCTTATGAAATTCCTTGATCTACTAATTCAGGTCAAGGATTAAAAAAAAAAAAAGAACAGTTTGCAAAATTAAAATAATCTGTTACTAAGAACAAGTCGTCCAACTCCCTACTCAAGTCTCAATGTTTCACAATTCCTTGCCCCCAATTCCACGCCTCTTTGATTTTCCTCTGAAGCACCTCTCCTTTAACCTGTTGCTATTCCTTTTAAATAAAGGAAATATCTGGTAAAGTTAAACACTTTCAGAACAGGGAAAACTGTATACAATCTATTCTCAGTTGAGAGAGCAAGGCTAAATAATTTAAAAGATCTAAATGGCATTGGGAAAAGTCCCCAGGGAAATCTAGAATAGCACTTAGGAATCATAATCTAGTGTTCAGAGATCTGTATCAGCTAGCTCATAATTAAAAGACACTGTATGTAAAGAATGTGGCAGTGGTTTATGAGCCTATGATGGGAGGCAGGCATTGTGACTGTGGTGCATGCCTTTAAAACCAGTATCTGGGAAGCAGAGGCAGGCAAATCTCGCTGAGTTCCAAGTCACCCTAGTCTGCATAGCAAGTTACAGGCCAACCAAGGCTACATAGTTAGACCCTATCTCAAACAGTAAATTAAATAAACAAATAAATAAATATCAAACAAATAAAACCCTACAATGGAGTGCAAAAGACAGACAGTATAGAAAAGGAATTGTTTTCTCCCCTGGATAGTACAGAGAAAAAGACCTGCACACAGATGCAATTATCAGATAAGCACTATCCTCATGAAAACTTCTTTAACACTATCAAGAAAGGAACTAGAAAGATAACTCAGTGGGGAAAATTATCACTCTGTAAGAAAGAGGCCCAGAGTTCAGAACCCTCACATGCCCACACAAAAACAATGGGCTTGGCAACAGGTGCCTATAACCCCCAGCACAAGGTGGGTGGAGACTAGAAAATCCTGGTGTTCAATGACAAGCCAGCCTAAGGCAAAATGGGAAACATCAGATTCACAGAAGAGACTCTGTCTCAAGCAATAAGGAGGAACAAACCCATTATTGACCTCCAGACTCTGCATTGATACACACAGACAAGAAAGTATACCCCCACATACATGCATGCACACGCTACCCAATAAACTCTTCTTAAAGAGGTCATAGTAATTCGTACCCCAATAATGCTGGGAGAATAAGTGAAGCCAAAACACCTGAGGGTTCAGCGATCTTTCCCAAACTTATATAACATCCTCAAACAGAAAAAAAACAAAACACTAAAACCAACAGTTAAGAACATCTTCAAAGATCCCTATAACCTACCAGCACCTCCACATTCTTATCCCAGCCCAAGAGACCTAAAAAGTAGTTCCTGCCTTCCTGTAATAGGAAACACAAGTGCTACTTTATGTTGGTGCATACAAGGAAAACTAACTTAGGCTCACACTCTGCTTTTTTTGGTGTTCTTTTAGCTCAAAGTAGCCAATATTGATTTATTTTCTTTTAGGAAAACACCTGTACTGTATGTGCAATGATAATGGATTTCCACCTACTTTTTTGAGACTGCAACAAAGACCTCAAAGACCTACAATTTCTCTGAGGTTCCACATCTGTCTAGAATGGGGGTTAACGAGGCTGTGTTCAGGAAATGAGGTGAGTTCTAAGACTGATTTGATCTGTGCTTCCTGTATCAGCCCAGAAATGGAATAAAATTTCCAAAATGAAGTTGTGATAACCCTGTCAAAGTGACATGCACTACCTATGTTATGACTTATTCCAAGGAGGGAAACCCCTCAGCCTTCATTACAAGCCAAAAAAAAAAAAAAGCAATCAAGCATGTCACATCTCCTGCACCTGTTATTGCGTGCTCAGTCATTTTCACTGTTTACATTTTATTTTCCCTTAGTGTGTCAGAAGAGTGTTGAACTTGGTCTCCCAGGTCACTAACTCAGACTTCACAACAGCAACTGTGATTTATGCCACCTACTGAACTGCTATACTGTTGTGGGGAATCCTGTTCTATAGCTCTAGAGAGCAGTGGTTCCCTAAGCACCCTCATCATCATCTCTCTGCACTGCTGTAAGGCTGGCAGTTCAGCTTTCTGTTCATCTGGGTGTTGGCTATAATTTTTCTTTCTCAGGATTGGAATTCCATTCTGGCTGCAGAAGTATCCCAAGTGCCAGAAGCACCACAAGAAAGTCTAACAGTCTCTACTCCTACGGTAACAAAGGACAATACAATACCCTCAGTGCTTCATTTCAACAACTTGTAAGTCCCCTGTGGCCTCCAGAGCTTCCCACTGTGAGTGGTTTCAGCAAGATATGTGAGGGCAGAACACTTCTGCCATAGGCAGAACATGATTGAAACGAGTGTTCTAATTCTAAGCCATAGATTTGAGTTTCTTCTGTGATTAATCAAAAGAATAACCAGCCCAAAGTAGTGCAGATCTTAAAATACTGAAACCCTCAGTAATTTATAGAATCTCAATGGCTATGTCATCCAAGGTAATTCAAGATCCATGAATCAGGGAAATAAACACATGCTCATTCCCCTTTTCAGGGAATTAAAAGAAGAAGAAAAAATAGTCCAAGCAAAGACAAACTGACTGATGCAGGAGTGAGAAGCAAGCACACTTGGAACAAACACACTCGGCTTCTGGAAAATTCTCCCTCTGTTCTAGCACCATGGATAAAAAGGAATTCAACCGTTCTTTGTATGTTCACCCTGGCTCTGGAGAAGCCTGGGACACCACACAAATGTGTACTGACAGGGAATCTTCAGATCTCTGAAGCCATTCTTTCCAGAACAGCAGGACTCCCAGTCAACCCCACCCCCAAGGGTGTCTTTGTTTCTCTTACTAATTCCTAATACAGAAACCCTGTAGATGCCATACCTAACCAGAGACAAGAGTCCTTGTGCACATAGACTGTCTAAAACGCCACCTTGCTGGTTACAGGGACACACAGAGAGAGAAAGAAAAACTGAAATTAGGAGTCAAAAAGTAGTATAGTTCATTCAGAAGGTTATTACTTTCCCAGAATTGACCTTAAATTAGTTATCAAATTAATACATTATACTGTTTTACAAAACAAATATGTTTCTCTAAATTTATTTATTCAAAATGAGGCAAAGTGAGGGAAAACTAAGGTATTCAAATACACACACATACACACACACTACATTTAGATAAAGGTATACGATATTTCTGAATCATACTGAACTATATTTAAGGTCCACATAATAAGGTTTTAAACATTTAATTTATAAGTAAAAAAAAAATCTTACAACAACAGAGAGTGACTCTAAGCCTCAGGACTCAGCTGAGATTAAGAAACCTTGACCTAATAATTATCAAACTAGTTACAATGCAGACATTCACACACATGCATCTGGAGACTTATGGACCTTAACTTACCATTGTCAAGAGGCGTGTCCTCCGGCAAATCCACATCCAGCATAAGGTCATCATCCTCAAGGTCACATGACTCAAGATTATTCAGAATATCCTGTGAATAACAGCAGTAAAACACTATGATCTCACCCAAGAGATACAAATATAACTAACTTCGTTTTGAAAGTATCATCATTTAATAACTTGGATTTATTCAATAATTATACTATAAGAATAAAATAGTTCTAATTTTTAAAAGCATTTTTAAGAATTCATCTGTACTTATACTTTGAATTTTGGATTCCCCTGCCCAGAAAGGGGAACAGCAAGATGCAGGTGACATAAAGGGGGAAATAGAAAAACAAGGAAGGATCTTTAAGTCAGGGATAGAAAGGGAAGGTACTACTGAAGCAAAAAGGCAGGAAAATAGGGGCTGGAGAGATGGCTCAGAGGTTAAGAGCATTGCCTGCTCTTCCAAAGGTCCTGAGTTCAATTCCCAGCAACCACATGGTGGCTCACAATCATCTGAAATGAGGCCTGGTGCCCTCTTCTGGACTGAAGAAAGAATACTGTATACATAATAAGCAAATAAATAAATACTAAAAAACAAAGGCAGGAAAATAACAGTAAGCATGTTTGAAAAAGAATATAGAAAGTCACTATTTTATAGTTACCTAAAATTATACATAATGCAAATAAGTATATGTCTATGCATACATTATACAGTTTGAATGAGGTTATACCACGTGGAATGATTAATACTCTCCACAAGAACCACAAGAACAAAAGCCCTAGTGCAAACATGAGAAACCTGAGTTCTTGGCCAAGAGTCCAAGAGATTCCCAAAACACCACAGTATATTGTTGTTGCCCTTGGTTACCTCCAAAAGTTGGAAGTAAACCCCAACTGCTGAAGACAGCATGGGTTTTGGACATAGAACTCAAAGGATTTGAGCGGGAAGTGACCCGAAAGCCTCTTTCCTGAGGACGAGGTACTCCAGTACAAGGAGCCATGGGATCTGCTACAGGAGAGAAACAAGCTGTGTCATCTATGAACCACAGCAAAGCCCAGCATGGCAAGCTAAGGTACAGCTGTGCCTCCCATACCCTGCGGTAACCACAAGCCATGTAATGGGAAGGAAATCCTGATATTGTGACCAACTATTCATACATAGTGAGATTACAGATTACAGGTGAGAGACTGCTGCCACCTTCCTAAACCAGTATAATTCTTAACTGCATTATCAATACTTATTCTTTTTTATTTTGCTCTATTTGTGTTTTCAAGACAGGGTTTCTCTGTATAGCCCTGGCTGTTGTAGAACTCACTTTGTAGGCCAGGCTGTTCTCAAACTCAGATCCACCTGCCTCTGCCTCCTGAGTGCTGAGATTAAAGGCGTGCACCATCACCACCTGTCCTAAATAATAAATCTTACACCCAACAGATAGGTAAGCATAGTTCACCTCTCATCCAAGAAGCTTCTTTTTGCAGCAGGAGATCATTACAGGAACCACAACTAGTCAAACATGCAGAAAACAACTGACTGTGGGCACCAACCCAAAGTGACACCCTAAAACACAACTCTTGCAACTAAGGCCTAAGGAACATCACAGAAGAGAGAGCATAGTACCAGAAAGTCTGTTGTGAGAACTGTGCCTTATGACTATGAGAAAGAAGCTATACCTATGAAATATCAATAACATGGTGCCTAAACAAGAACTTAACAATTTCAACACCAGCTGACAGGGCACCACCACTAGATGAAGAAACCCGAGCAATAAACACCTCATTAGTTATCCAGTACTGAGTGTGATGGCCTTCTGTACACTGAGAATATATGTTGCTTTTATTGATTGATGAATAAAGCTGTTTTGGCCTATAGCAAGGTAGAATATAGCTAGGCAGAAAAGCCAAACTAAATACAGGAAAGAAAGTGGGGTGTGTGTGTGTGGTGGGAAGACACCAGAAGCTGTTGGTGAAGCAATATGCGAGGTAACAAGTCATAAGCCTCGTGGCAAAATATAAAATAATAGAAATGTGTTAATTTAAAAGTAAGAGCTAGTTAGTAATAAGTCTGAGCCATCAGTCAAACCTTTAAAATTAATTTAAGTCTGTGAGTGTTTATTCAGGAACTGGTAGGCACCCAACATCTAGCAAGGATCCACATAAGACCTGAAAAAAAGGTTAGAACCCTTAAAAACAGAAGAAACAGAGCTGCACTGAACTTCCTAGTCTCACAGTCTCGTGCCAGCAGCAGCGCAGGGACATACATGTATCCCAACAGCTGCCTGCAGGATGCAGCCAGGTGCCATGTGCTAATGAGTGGCACAGGTTTCTGCAGTCTCACACAGGCCTCAGTACAGAGCAGCTAATCAGCCCCAGCCCAGGATGCGTGACAGATGTTTGTGGGATGGCTGCAAGCCACCTAATGCAGTATTGGGGGAGAGGGTAAGAGTGAACCTCATTGCTACTTCTGCCATATTGAAAAGCTAAGTGGGGCAGAACCAGCAGTCAAAGCAGCCACTTTGATCCTAGTCATGCCCAGCTGCCAGTTTAAAACAATGATCAAAAAATATCAAAAAATATTACAGCTACTCAATAAAGACAGAATCAGACCAATAAATAAATAAATAAATTTTTTTAAAAACCTCTAAATGGGTCACAGTGTGCTTAAAAACTGTATATAGGCTTGGGAGAGAAGAAAAATAGTATAGACAGTAATAAAAAAAATAAAAGTCTTCAAGGAAATACTAAAAATAATATAAAAGAAAAAAGCAATTAAAGATGGAAAACACACAAGGATTCTGGATCCTATATAGTATTGTGTTGATTCTGAATTTTTTGATGGCTGATGGACAAGAGACAGCTGCTGAGAGACAGGAATGAGAGACTAACAAAATATAGCAACCTAAATATTTCAAAAATCCCTTAGCTTTAAAACAGAAGTAAAAAAATACATTTGTAAAATGAAACTTAAAAGATGCATTGCTTTAAAGAAGCGGTTTTGGTTTTGTTTCCACAGGAAACAAGAGGCTATGAATTCGCTCCAGGTTATGATCCTGAAACTTGACAGGTGATATCTATCAACAAAGGTTATCACTGGTCCTCCCAGGACTTGGTCATTATCTCAAAATTTTATCAGGGACCCCTAAAGATATTTCATCCACAGAAAGCAGAAAGCAGTCTGGAGTAAACAACATACACATTCCCAAGAGCTGGGGCATGTAGTATGGATTCTTTGGCTATTTGATAGGTTATGGATGTTTGTTATATTATATTTAGGGAAATATAGGAATAGAGAATAAAAATACAACTATTAATCTCAGATATTTTGCATTGGCATTATTTTGGTATAATGATACAAATTTAAAGTTAATTTTGCTACACTGTAAATATACTTCTATTTTTGTTTAAAGTATTTTTGTATATTGATACAAATTCAAGGTTATTGTCTTTATATTGCACATCTGTTCCGATTTTTGCTTAAGATATTACCTATACAATTTGATAATTATGTAATATGAAGTTTTAGTCCTAAAAGCTATTTGAGATCATAAAAAAATACAGGCTAATAGTCACCCCTACCTATAAACCTGTTAATTAGATTTTCAAGGTAATACAGAGATATATTTCAAATAGACAGGTAATCTTCAAACACTTCAGAGACCTACAGAATATGGCAATTAAAATGTTCTAAGAACTTAGACTTTTCTCAACATAAGATACATTTGTTTCTGGCAGCATTAATTACTTCAAAGAGGAAGATTGGCATTGAAGAAACTCATTATGGAGTTTGCCTTCAAAGTAACAAGCCTAGTCATTTGGGAAACTGCTCATGCTGGACTGCTGATAGTATGCTGTATAAACAGGACAGGCAGGGCCCACAGAAAAATGATCACTAAACTTTGCCAAAACAAGGCGGTATGGTCCTTCAGGGTTCCTGCTTCACAGAAGAAACTGACAGACATTCTGCAGGACACAGAGGGAAATGACTGATATACTGCCAATATAGGCAAAAGAGTCTTTCAAATTTCCTGCTTCGTGGAAAAGTCCATCAGCCTGTATGCTGAAGATGAATGCCCCAACATTACAGGAGAACTCTGGATGACTGTTCAGGGAGCCAGATATCTCTGTCATTTCTTGGCGCAGGAGAATTGTCTGTATTCTGTCAATCATGTTTTAAATAAACGCTGATTGGCCAGGCAGGAAGTATAGGTGTGTCAACCAGACAGGAAGTAGAGGTGGGGCAATGAGAACAGGAGTATTCTGGGAAGTAGGAAGCTCCCTCTACAGTTCTGCCCAGATCACCGAAGAAGCAAGATGTGAGCTGCCCCGCTGAGAAAGGTACCAAGCCATGTGGCTAACATAGATAAGAATAATGGGTTAATATAAGCTACAAGAGTTAATAAGTAGCCTGGGCTAATGGGCCAATCAGTTTTATAACTTATGGAGATCTCTGTGTGATTTTCTTTGGGGTTTGCCGGCTGTGGGGTACCGGGTGGGACAGAAACCCCAACAAGCAGGCCCCTTCATGTTACAATTTCTAGAGTTTTGAAAATTGCTTACAATGCACTTCCTGTTTACTTAGATAATATTATATCATTCTGGGGTCTTTGATGGAGTTGAAAACTAGATAGTTATAATTATAGTTTTCCTTAGTTATGATAAAAGATAAATAGATATAAAACTTTAGATTAACAAAAATAGAATATTTTATTTAATTTTTCCAAATACAAATACAATACTAAATATTGTAACTATAATTCTTGCTGTATAACCTTTTAGTTATATGTAATTGTACAATGTTAATGTTAAAAACTTCCTTCTTAATTAAACAGAAAAGGGGAGAGGATGTGGGGTGATATTCTGTAAGCTGTGAATATCTGTTGCTTTATTGGTTGATAAATAAAGCTGCTTTGGCCTATGGTAGAGCAGAATATAGCTAGGTAGGAAAGCCAAACTCAATACAGCAAGAAAGAAGGGCAGAGTTGGGGGAGATGCTAGCAGTTGCCAGAGAAGCAAGATGTGAGGTAACAAGTCACAAACCATGTGGCAAAACATAAAATAATAGAAATGTATTAATTTAAAAGTAAGAGCAAGTTAGTAAAAAGCCTG